AAAAAAAGTTATTCACAAGGCAGCCTTAATCCAGATATTTTAAACCTATTTTCATATTTACAGAATGTTTAATTTTTTTAGGACGAATTAAACATGCATTTTCGTCCACTGACGAGAGATACTAAATATACAGGGTGTCCCATTAAGAATGGGACACAGAACAACTTAATATTCTTTGATTAAAAATAGGACGATTAAACGAAACATGCTTAAATAAAATATTACTGGTTTCAGAAATACAGGCTGTTAAATCTGAAAATGGTTATAATTTTTTTATTTCTCAGTAAATAAATTTACTAAATTCGTTTAACATGTTTAGTACCATAAGATATACATATCAACAAAACAATCAGTTAAATAAACGTTGCCAGTGGCGTACGGCATGGATAGGTAACACCTTCGTCCCTAAAATCTTATTTGTTACATTTTTTGATGTTTTTTAAATAAATCATGTACTCTACTCATAATACTTAATTTTCATTTATTTTTTAATTTTGTAATTTTGTAATTTTGGATTTATTTATAAATTCCCAACAAGAGTACATCATTTATTTAAAAAACGTCAAAAAATTCAAAATTCTAGTCCAAATAGGATTTGGGGAGGTGTAAAATTTATAAAGGGTGAAGGTGAAGTTAATTTAAATGATTTTTTGTTGATAGGTGTATCTTATGGCACCAAAAGTGCTTGCTTTATAATTTTACAAAAAATCTAAAATTACAAAATTAAAATGAAGAATATTCACCTTTAAGTGTGAATATTTCGAAAACCAATCACTTTATGAGTTTTCAACAAGAGTACCTGATTTATTTAAAAAAGATTAAGAAATGTAAAAGTATAGAATAGGTTTTTGAACAGTAGCGTAAAATTTAGAAGGGATGAAAAAGTCCATGCCGTACGCAACTGAAAAAGTTTATTTAACTGATTTTTTGCGGATATATGTATCTTATGATACCAAAAATATTTAGCAAATGTAAATTATACTGAGAATTAAAAAAATTATAGCCATTAATTTGTTTTTTGAAATTTCAACTATTTTCAAAAATAATTCAAAATTACTAATAATTTTGAGCACTTTTCTGTGAAAATTATTATTAATGAATATATGCAAAGCCGCGCACATTTTATATTAATTTGTTCAAATTTAAGTGTATGTTATTTTTTAGGTCCTTAAAGGTAACTTTCTTAAAGACTCCAAGTACAGCATTATTATTTTCATATATATCTCTACCACTCTTAAGTAATTCATGTTTTTTCCATGAAATTATGGAATGTGTAATAAATTAAATTATGCTTACTTGCACTTTGCAAAGTAAATCATACAGACATTTTAAAAATTAGGAATATCATTCACTGAAATAATGTGCATTTTCATGTATTACCAATACGACTTTTAATCACTTTTTTTTGTTTTAAATACTAGATAATTTTATAAGTAATACAGAGTGTGATAGAACCGTGTCAACAATTACTAAATATAAAAATGTTTTCATAATAATTTAAACTTGGTACACCTAAAATATTGTAGAAAGAGACCTGATTTTTATATAAAAATCTAATGACAGTACAGTTGTCATTCTACCAGTATTACTTCTTCATATATTTTTATTTTTGTTGATTTAGTAGATTTATTTTTGGTAAATTAAAATATAAAAACCTTATGGAGTTGTTGCACTAAATTACTAGTAACAATTTTAAAAGTTTGTTATAGGAATTTTTGATAGTTGCTACTGTATTTTTGCTATGAAACAATTGCATTGACTGACATTTTTCAAGTATATTATCTTGTGACAGAATATTATTTTTATTAAAAATAGTAGTTGGTTTCAACAATTAAAAAATGGTTTGGTGTTTTATTTGTAATACAACTCTTTTAGTTTATTCTTTAATTAAATATTGTTTAAAAATAGTTAATGAATATAATAAAACAGTTTAAACAAATTTCTTTTATATTGATTTATAATTGAGTGACAATCTAAAAATCTATGTAAATAAACTGCTGTTAATAAATATTATTTAAGTCACATCCTGTATTACTTAAAAAAATTATTTAATAATTAATACAACAAAAAAGTGATCTGAAAATGCACCCAATTTCAGTAACTGATATTCCTAATTTTTTGAATACCCTGTATGATATATTTTGCTAAGTCCAAGTAAGCCTAAACCGTCTATAAATAAGTATAACATGTGACATAGGTTTATGGAAAAAACATAAAATACTTAGGTGTTATAGATATATACATATTATGAAAATATTAATTCTGCACTCTTTATTTTGACTCCTTCTAACAGCTCACCCTGTAGAACTGTAAACTTGGGTTCCACAAGAAAATTGCCTTTCATGACGAAGAATAACATACTTAAATTTGAACAAATTCTGACACTACCCAAAATCAATGTAAAAAGTGCGGGTGTGGAAGCTCTGTACAATAAAGAAATTATTTATTAAAAGTGGAACACACTGTATATTTGGAGTAAAGAGTAGATCATTTTCTGTTTTTATTGATCCTTAAATTAATCTATTCTATTATTCCAATTTTAAATTATTCTAAATTAAATTTCTACAGTATGCCAATTTACAACAATTATGTAAATCATTTTATCCATTCTTTTTGCTGATTCAAATAATACTTTCTACAATGCTTCTAATAACAAACTGAAATAAAAATGGGCGTTTAATTTCATATTATCTTAAAATAATATGAAGAAACACCTGATAATCCACGTCCAATTACATTATCAAATTGTTTGATAAGAAATTCGTGTAACCTTGTGAAATTTTAAACGACATAAAACAGAAATAATTAAAAGGTATCTTTGCCGATGTCAATAATGATTGATAGTTTTTTTGGTTGTTTTACCAGACCGATATAATGTTTTAATAATGTTTTGTATTTTCTAAAAATATTGTGTCATTGTAATTACCAATTTGGATTACCATATGACGACAATGAAATATACAAGGCGCAATCAAAACATACCCTAAAAAGTGTATAATTCAAAATTATTTATCTTTAGATCTAAAATTGCGGCTTTCTCTTTGATTTGGCCTTGTATTTTACAAAAGTGTAAAATCAAGGCTGTGGTAAATATTAAAGCTGCAATATATTTTTTATTTCAAAAACAAACAGTTTTGTCATCCTTTATATTACTGGGTGATCAAGTATATTTAAAACCATGAAAACTTATTTTAGAGATCAATATTATATGTCATTTCATATGGAATAATCTATATATTTTTAAATATTTATAAAGTCTCTGCCCTTTCTAAAAATAAAGCATACGTAACAGTTTATAAAATAAAAAATTCAAAATTCCTATTTACGCATAAATTTAGATATAAATAAAAAAAAGACGGAAAATATATTTTTCTTGCGAGTTCTATGTTATATTTTTAGAAATAGAAAAAGAGAGATTTTCTGAATATATAAAACTAAACAGGGTGTTCCTTATAACATAACAAATTTGATAGATCTAAAAAAGGTCATACCTACTCATTTCCAGTGAAAAAGAAAACACTTTTTTTAAATGATTTAAAATGGTTTTAATAATATTTGTCCGCCCTGTATTTACAAAACAGATGATTGAAATTTATTACCTCTATTATTAAACAAAGTAGATTAAATTGTGTTAAATTATACGGAAAGACATTTGCAATTATTTAGAATAATCAGTAAGTGATCACCGCAGAATAAATTTAAATATAGTAAAATATTTGACATTAATACTGATTGTTGATATAGAGGAAGACGAATCACTAATTTATTTTTATTATTAACATATTTTTTAATAATTAAAATAAACGCTAGTGTACAGGGTGATTTAGTCATACTTTGAAAACCGTTAGTTAAAAGATATGATAAAATTTCTCCTTTAAAATATTTTGTTGAAATACATCGCAGATCACATACTCTACCCTCTATATAAAATGCTGGTTTCAGTGATCAAGGTTCCCTGACAAATGGAATTAAAATCACTAGAAATGGCCAGCTTATATAACTTTGAGTATCATGGTATAAGGTGATAAAGGTTTCGCTTTCTACTAGTAGTTTTTATTAGGTATTTTCATCTCAATTTGGGCTTAAATTTCATATTCCATTTTACTCAATTCTCACACTTATTCAAGAACGGAAGCGTTTAATAAATATTATAATTGAGAATTCCACCTTGGAATTTAATAGATATAACAGATGACAGTTGATAGTGAAATTTCTAATTTCTTAAATTTGAAGTATTCTTTCTTTTTTCTGTATCGAGTATTTTGATTCTATATTTGCATATTTAAATTTATAATCACAAACTTTTATCGTTGGCTAACGTTAACTCGCCAGAGAGAAAAAAATAAAAAGATTATATGAAAATTATTATAAAAAATTACAAAGGACATATCTTCTTTTATTTTTGTTTTAACTTTTGACAATATCAAAATAAAATTCACCTAAATCACCAAATTTAGTAGTCATTCCCAAGCTCATTTACAAAAATCATAGAATACGGCTATGAGGACAAAAATAATTACCATTTTTACCAAATACTAATACAAAATAAAGGTACATTCTTTTTTGTGAAAAACCGCTACATATAGGTACCAAGATAATTTTTGTTAAAATCTTAATGTCCCTTCTATAGAAATGTTAGTCTTCATTTTAATTTTTTTTTTTTTTTTTTTTTTTTTTTTTTTTTGGCTTGGACTTTTGTCATTCAGCCAGTCACTTAATGAATTTCATTTTAATTAAATTGTGCTAAATTATCTGTTGTATACTGATGATCTGTGGAGTTAACGTTATATTGATTTACTAGAGCGACTAATAGGTTAATTTTTTTAAACGGTTGCCTTCATTGATTACTAATACCTTTGTCTATTGTCCGTCTAAAAATATAAACTGATTTATCACCAAATCTGGAGATCTGGTGATAAATCACATAACATATAACTAACGATTTTCGAGATGCGGCCATTCACCATTATTTATAAATCGCCCCCGTACAATCATCATTTAAGATTTCAAAATTTCTCATCGATCTCTTTTCTTATTTACAAAAACATCAAGTCATATTTACGCATATACATATATACACATTTCGATCAAAACCATTGAACTACTTATTATTTGGAGTAACAATTTAAAATTGCATCCAAAACCCCGTCCTTCAATCGTCCTGGTCTTCGTGCTTAAGATGGCCGATTAGGGCCAACTCGTGTTCTCAGCCGGGCCTTTCCCCTACTCCTATCCCACTCCCCGCGTACTGGCAAGCCGACAATCCCGTGGAAGATGATCTGACGGGACTAACGCTTGAGTAGCCTACGAACGGGGAGTGCTGCTTGGCCTTGAGCCTTAAGGAAGCTATGCTCGAAGCTGACATAGCAGTACAAGGCTCTGAGGCTCCTCTATGATGGTACATGGAATAGGGATTCGCCGGAGTTGTGTACGGGCAAGGTTGCGCCGACACCGATCCAGGTGCCGAAGTCATCACAGTACCCATACCACCCGGAAGCATTGAACTTACAGCGCCTGACATCGTAGCTCCTGTCACGGATGAAGCTGCGTTAAAACAGTTAACAGGGCTCTGGTGGTGGTTAGTGGGAACCACTGGCCAAAAGGGTTTGGTTCCTAGCGGACTGGGCACCTTGGTGGCCCAGTTGTTGTAGGTAGAGTACGAGTAAAAGCTGTCGTCGCTGATGGTGGGCATGAGGCCGTTGAACTGGGTGCCGAAACCGGTTTTGAATTCGGCGGCGTTCATTGCGTTCATGGCGTTGCGTTCGCGTTTTCGCCATTTTGCTCTGCGATTTTTGAACCATACCTGTAACAAAGAAATCATAGGTTTAGTGATAAGTTACGTGAATGTTTGCACGTCATAATTTTGTAGAAAAAATACGTGTGACACTCGGGGACTGCCGCGGTAAAGCTATTGTATAGCATTTTTTATCAACTTATGCAATTATAATTATTTATTTATTTTATTTATGCAGTATTTTTTTAATATTATTTCAAGTTTTTTCTTTGATATTAATTCAAGTTACACTTTCTGAGCGTGGTGACCGATAAGAAAACAAATTTTTTTCTTTTATTGAATAAATGAGAAGTTAGTATTGTTTAAAATATTTTTATTATCTTACAATACATGTAGGTTATTCAGGAATTTTTATCATTGAAACTATAGGTTTGTGGTAACTGAAATAAGAAACATAAGTTTGAGACTTGATATCCTCTAAATATCTGGAAAATACCGAGTCAATGGTGGTCCTATATTTTGTTGTGGATTGTTGTGGATGATTATTCATTTTCAAATTCAATTTTTCCGAAATTGTGTCTAAAAGAGATAGAATCAGTTATGAGCAGTTAGCAGCTAGTCTACACGCATACGTCTAGTCGTACGCACAGAAACACCGTGCCGAAGTCTGCTGAACTGAAACGATGTTAGACGATGCACGGTTTTCAACGCCACACCGCTATGCCGGTCGGAGTGGGGGATGTTAGGTTTATTTTCGTTACGGAATTTATTTTTCGATTTTTCGAATTTTCGATTTTTCGATTTTCTTTTATTGAATAAATGAGAAGTTAATATTGTTTAACGCCGCACCGCTGTGCCGGTCGGAGTGGGGGGTGTTAGGTTTTTTTCGTTACGGAATTTCTTGATTCGGTCGCCGCGCTCAAAGCCCGCGATAAAAGCTATGCAATAGTTTAAAAAAACTATTAATTAACTAAGTTAAGATGGCGATTAGATTCATTTCACCGTAATAATTTAAATTTACGGTGGTTTGAGCAGACTTGTAGGCAAATCAATCAACAAGTATAATTTTAATCAAATATTTAATAACTGCAGTCATACTTATATAAAATTATCATACAAAAACCATTATTAGCTTTTTGTTATTGTTATAGAAACCCGTCCACAAAAGTTGTTAAATAAATACATTAGGGATTTGCTTCAAGGTTCATGTTCCTATTTTACTAAGACTCTATTATTATTTAGTATATCATAATGTTTCTAAACAAGCAAAAACTGACATTACGTAGATCATTTTTAAAAAAATAAATAGGTACAATATGCACCTATATAATATCGTCGCTAGAAAGACAACTCCATTTTAACTGTTTTACAGGAGACACAATTAAACTTTTGGTTTATAGTGCTTTGCTTATATTATTTTCCATATTATGTTAACTATAAGGAGAAGATATACGCCCCTTTGTCACATCATAGATATCCACTTTAATAGATTTGTGGTGGTCTTAAGTCAAATTGGGCAACTTTCGACTTAGACCTTTTTGTTTTTCCAGCGACGATATACTAATATAAATAATTTTAAAAACCAAAATTTGAACAGTACTTTCAGAGTACAACTCTGGGTACCTCATTCAAACGCTCTGTATGTTAGTCAACCTGGATTTAACTGACTCTTGTTAAATGATCTGAGTAAAACAATCAACAAATCGGAACGTAGAGTGATCCAATGAGAAAACATAACCCAATAGTGACGTTTCAATGAAACGGGACAAATGTCGCTATGTGTTTGACTAAATCATCAAAGGAGGTGTTGTCTATAATAATAGGTACTTTTACTAACTTGAATCCTAAAAAAATATAGTAGCTTGTGCAACTAAAGTGGGTGTAATGGCCATATCGCACGAATACGAAGTTTGGGCACGACGCTGTAGGCGGACTACCGAAGTTACTAAATATTCCTTTAGTTTAATTATAAAAATGTTTAGTTCAAGTTAATTTCCTTCCGTTAGGGTTCCCAAGAATCCCGTAATTTGTATTTCCCAAACATTCCCCTTTTGAAACATTTGCGATAATCCCGTAGTCCAAAATATATCATTCTTTGCGGAAATTCTAATCCAGCTTTAAACGTTCAAATTCATGTAAATTATCTGATCATTTTCACATATATCAAAAGGACATTTTCTCAGTCCTCTGATTTGTAAATAATGGGTACTCCCACTCCGAACCACTCGGAAACCGAACTAGTCCAAGCGTAAAGTATAAACTCGAGCTACCCGCGAATTCTCTCTTTCAGTGTCAAACCTCTGAATTTACCTGATTGTGAACAATGTCGTTTTTATTGCACCGGAAAATATAAGGTAGTAAGCAAAAATATAGTATTTTTGAGTTCGATATCACATAACGTTGACAATCAATTTTTGACTCTATTAGATATTTTAGAAATAGTTATTTATGCACCAAGTGTGTAAAATTACTCTTTTTTGACGAATGTGAATGTTGTGACAATCACATGAGTGTACTCCGTGGAGTGCGTAAAGTATGTTCTTTACGCACTGTAGTAGAAAAAAACCTTTTTTATCATAAATTATACCGAATTATTTAAGATAAGACTTTACTATCTGTACTCCCACTCTCCCACATCACGGCCGCCAATGGCGTATAATATTGTCGTGAATGATTAATGAATAAAATAAAAGTTAATTCTCAACTATTTCTGTCAACCTGTCCCCTCTGTATCAGGAAAAAGCAATTATTTTTCCTTTTGGAGAAGATAGCGATCAAGGGTGGCCGTGTCCATCGACGGCGATGGTCGTTTATTTGCCATTTGGTCATGTTCGACGTTGCAGTGATTGAACGGTCAAGCGTGCCATGCAATGAACTGTGTGTAACGGAATATAAATTGGGATATTTGTCATGCTATTTGTGGTCATGATAATCTGTGATCGATATATGCTGAAATAGGTGTACGAGAGGAAACAGGCGATATATATACGAGGGTTGGTCGTTTTCCTCGAGATATAGCCGAAAATCTTTAACAGGCGTTACTGGTAAAGCATATATTGGACATTTTTTATGTGTCTAAAGAAAAAATGGTTAAAGAGGAAAATCATTCCAGTTCTAATGTGACCAAGACAACAAAAAGGAAAAACGGAGCGGGCAAAATGGACCACTTCGATCGTTTTGCCTTCAAGCGGTCCATTTTACCTTCTTTAACTAAAAATTACCTTTACTCTTTGTTTACTTTGGCAGATGGTTAGTAACTACAAAAGAAAGTCAGAAGGCAGAAATGGTTGGAAGAATCTATAAATCAGGCGATTCAAATTATTTCTATTAGAGAGGGATGGGGCTCAGAAAGGCTACTGAAAGTTTCAAAGTCCTATAAACGACATTAAAACGGCGGCTACATATGTATGCAACAATAAATCAAAATATTGATGAAGCAGCAGTCAAGAAGATATGAAGGTTCACTGCAACTTTTAATGAGGAACAGAAGAAAGAACTTGCAGCTTATGTAAAAAATATAAAATCTTAATTTTTTGGCTTGACGACAAAGGATTTGAGGTCTTTGGTGTACGACCTAGCTGAAAAAAATAATATCAAACTTTGACCTAGACACAATGATGGCTACACAAGTCACACTAAAAATTTGAATGTAATAAACGTAGTCCGTAAACATGGTATACATATAATTTAATTTTCACCATACTGCACCCATCAGCTTAAGCTTCTTGATGTTGGGTTCATAAAACCATTATCTGCATACTTTACAGAGGCTGCAAAGCAATGGCTAAAAACAAACCAGAAAAAAGTAATTACTCTATTTCAAATTGCGGAATTAGTTGGAAAAGCATTTGAGAAGGCAGCTACCATTCCTACTGCACATAACCCATTTCACGCAACTGCACATCTTCACTGAGGCAGATTTCTTGGCAGCAGATACAACTGATATCGTTGAAAATGACCAAACTGAAGAAGAAACCGAAGAACATCAGCCATGTTGCTCGAAGTCCCTACCTAAAGCAGATACTATCGTTTCAAAGGCAGCAGATACAACTGTTATCGTTGAAAATGTCCAAACTGGAGAAGAAACCAATAAACCGCAGCCATGTTGCTTTAAGTTACTACTTAAAGTAGACACCAGCGTTTCTAAAGATCTATATGGTGATAATACCGATTCTGACAACGAACCACTTTTCCAGCACCATATAAAAAGTTCTTCTTCAAAGAGCAGTTTTATTGTTTCGCCACTACAAATTAGGCCGGTACCAAAAACAAGACAAGCCGAAAGAGTTAAAAAAAGGAGAGACAAAACTGCTATTATTACATCATCAGTGTATGGTACAGAATTGGAAACCTCACAAGCAATTTCTAACCAAGTAAAACGAAAAGTTCGTTTCGATGATGATATTGAGAAGGAAAAGAGAAAAGGAAAGTGTGGTGCCCGCGTTTAACTTGGCGAGTACACAAAAGAACTTTCCAAACATTTTAATTATTGTTTCATCTTTTGACATTTTATGTCATTATATTTATTTTCATGGTTATATGCAATGTTTTTGAAATGACAACCTTGTGGTCTCTTCTTTTTCAATAACATTAGGTACTGTTACTGATTAAGCTACACTTTTTTTTGCAAATCTTTACAGGATTATCCGTATGGAAAGATTGAAAGCTATATATATGACTACCGTTGCTACGCTCAAAAGGAAGACAGAACATAAACAACAACATAAACGGAAATTTATGTTCAAAAATGTCATTTTAGCAACTTTATATAGTTGTCAATATATTTCTTTTATGAATTCAAAAATAAATTTAATTTTTTATAATTTTACAGAGCCAAATTTTATTGTATTTATTTACATATAACTAATGTTAGTGCTGGTTAAATAACTTGTATAAGTTGAGACTAATGAAGGAAAACAAATTAATTTTAAATTAAACTAAAAATTATTATGTTTTCAGAAGAATTTAGTGGTAAACCAACATTGTACACTAAAGAAATAAAAATTAAGAAGAAGAAAAATGCCCGCAAAATTTTTGAAAAAGATGCCTTTACTTCCGAAGATGACATA